TACTACTGGCAATGCCTTTGAACCTTCAGAGCCATGATTACTCTAAAAAGCTGAAATGAATTGTGATAAAAAGTAACTTCCGAAGCAGCCTTACTATCACATTATTGATATAAGAATAAAACTTGGGCTCTGTGGTAGAGTGTAATTCCATTATGGGTAAATTTTATTTTGATAAACTCTCTCACTGTATAACACTGTGAGACTTTATCAAAATAAAATTCACCCAAAATGAAATATCACATTATTATTTCAAGTGGAAGCTTGAGTTTGAAGTTTCACTGGTGGCGGTGGGGTGACACTGCTCACCTTACATGCCCAGTCTTCTGTCAATGCCGAGTATATTATCTCTCAAGTGAGGTTTCAGAGTCCGTTGATAGGGAATCGAACTTCGAACCATGTGTGTGTGTAGTTGGTGTCAATCCTGCTACAGGTCCACCAAAGCCATGTTAAGGAACAAAGTAAGCTAAAGTTGACTATGAACTTAGTCAGACTCTTCGGGTTTTGTTGCAGTTTTAGTAAGTAATTTATGCCAGAAGAGCGTAACAGTGAGAGAATGTTTCCAAGTTATATTTTTCTTATATGAAAAGAACAGCGTCGATCGAGAGGTGATTTGGAAACTACTTCGCTACTACCAAGGGGTGCCATCGACAATTATACATCTCATGCAACAGCTATACGACAATGCTGCATGCCAAGTAATCTACAACAGGAAACTTACAGATGCCTTCGAAGTGAGGACAGGAGTAAGACAAGGCTGCCTACTATCGCCAATGATTTTCTTGATTGCAGTAGATTGCATAATGCGACAGACAGCAGCGGGCAGCGAGGAAACAGGTATAAAATGGACTCACAAAAAATGCTTGGAGAATTTGGGCTTCACCGATGATATATGTCTAATTTCCGACAAACTGGAAGACATGCAAGCGAAAAGCAACAAGTTAGCAGAAGAAGCATCAAAGATAGGACTTCAGGTGAACATAGATAAAACAGAGGTGATGAAAATCCCTGCGCAACACCACCAACAGCAACAACAACAACAGACAACAATCAGCATAAATGGAAGGAACCTGAAAGAAACAACTTCTTTTACCTACCTTGAAAGCATCGTTTCAACTACAGGCAAACAGAACTGATGAGGATATCAAAGCAAGAATCGGGAAAGCAAGACAAGCTTTCACTACTCTCAAGTCTGTGTGGAGGTGAACAACACTCAGCACCAAAAATAAGATCCGGATTTTCAACTCCAATGAGAAGTCAGTCAGTGCTACTCACTATACGGATCAGAGACTTGGCCAGTGAGTCATAAAGAGCATCTCAAACAAACTACAGACCTTCATTAACAGTTGTTTTCGCTCAATACCACTCAAGATCAGATGGCCGGCCAGAAAAGACCAGCAACAGAGATCTCTGGCAATGAGCGAACCGACTCAGCAGGAACGGATTGTGAAACAAATAGGCAGGAAGAAATGGAGATGGATTGGCTGGCCATAGTCTTAGGAAACCATCAGGTGACATCACTAGAAAAGCCCTTGAGTGGAACCCGAAAGGGAAGCGGCGAGTTGGTCGTCAGAGCGAGGGTGGGTGACTTGGAGGAGGTGATGTGAAGAGGAGATGAAAGCGTGTGGGCAGACTTGGAGCCAGGTGAAAACTCTAGTAGAGAACCGAACGCAATGGAGACGCGTGGCTGAAGCCCTATGTTCCTCTAGGAATTTAAGGATACAATAATAATAATCATAATAATAATCATATATGAAAAGAAAATTATCCTTCAAATTTGGTTGGATTTTTCTCTTGAACTGTTTGAGCTAATCGGAGTACTCATAACTTTTAATACACAATGCGTCGGTGGCACAGTGGTTAGGACTCTCGCCGACCATGCACGTGGTCCAAGGTTCGATCCCCTGCCGGCGCACACCCGATATCTATGGTCGGCCTGCGAAATTTGGGCTACCGATATCCATGCTGAAAATTCCATACTTCTACCAAAAGTACTGTGTGGAATCAAGCTGTAATCAAAAAAAAAATTCATTCTTTGTAATTTATCATCAAAGCCGCAAACATCATATTTATTCGTTTTATTCTTTTGAGTTTCGAGAGGAACATAGAGCTTCAAGCTTGAGTTGTAAATTTTCAGTGAAGGTGTTGTTTTTTATGCTGGGCAGGATCACTAGCATCAGGCCAAACCTCACCTCTTTTTCTTGCTTACTACTGTCTAATGAGCTGAGGAAGTCTTAGGGATATGTTGGATAGGAATCGAACTCGAAACGCGCACATATTCTAGGCTTGAACCAATGACTTTGTTATCACTTCAAGAGCACTAACTTTTGCATGGAAAAACATTAAAATTATCCCCATACCAAAACAATCTTCTGGTACTGATATTAAATTTAGGCTTATTGCAATTACTTCTCCCTTTTTAAAATTGATGGAAAAATTACTTTTACTTCGTCTTGAACCTTCATTGAAACCTTCTAATGATCCTAAACAATTTGCATATAAACATGGTAGATGTACCTTGGATACTGCGGTTGTCTTGTATCATAATGTTGTTTCTTGTTTAGACAAAGGTGCCAAAGATGTTCGTGGTGCTTTCCTAGACTACACATCTGCTTTTGACTCTGTGCCTAAGTGCCTTTTATAAAATAAGCTTTCGTTGAGGCAAACAGGATCCTGGGCTAACAGTTGGTTGCATTATTACTTTTCTGATAGAATGCAGTATACTGTATATAACGGCAAATCTTCTTCTCTCTCGCTTACAAAAGCCAGTTTCCTCAACGTGCCGTCCTCTCTCCTTTTTCTTTTTTCTTTCTTCCTACACGACCTGCCTCATTTAAACGAAATTAACTTTGTCAAATATGCTGATAATCTGGTGGTATTGTAGTGACCCGTTTTATTACTCATCATCGCAGTATACTTTCACTATGTAATTGGACTTTGATTTGTTTATTACTCTAAATCTTGCATGTTAACAATTGATACTTTTGTACTCGCTCGATTTTGAATTTTGATTGCTGCAATAATACACTATCGCATTCCTTCGCAAGTGCCTTTTGAATTACGTTGTGGACGTCGAGTAATCACAACGTTAGCACACAATTATAAACGCGAGGAAGTACTAAGATGTACGTGTACGCTAGTGTAGTCAAAATATAGCAGCACAACAGTATCACTGCTTATCACTTCCAAGTCTGACTGCTCCAAACTTAATAGCTTTCTGTTGGACATCAACAAGTGGTCTAAGTCAAATTGTCTTATGTGAAATCCTTCCAAATGTCAGGCAGTTAACTTTACTTTCAAACATCGACGTGACATACATGAACTAGTTAGTTCCCATGATGCCTGTAGCATAGATGGCACTGAAATTGAAACCAAGTCAAGTATTAAATACCTTGGATTAGTTCTTTCCTCTGACCTTTCATCGTCATCCCACCATCTTATCAATCTCTAAGAAAATGTTCTGTCTTAACTTCTACATTAAAAAGTTAAGACAATCAGGTATCAACCAACCTTTATTTCTGCAGTTTGTAAATTCCTGTATTTTACCTATTGCACTCTACTGCTCTCCATTAATCTTTCCTGAGCTTCTCAAAAAAGACTAAATCATATTACGAAGGATATTAAATGCTGTGAGTAGGGCTTGTGGTATGCCACTGCGTGAGCACGCCAATATTATAGTCGAGAGACATATAAAATCCTGTACAAAATGGGCAAAGGCCGTACTGTTAGACCCCCTGCACATCCTTTATTCACAACTATCGCCTTGCATCTCATGAGGTAGGACGAGAAGTCAATATAAGAAGTTATATGCTCGCACCACTAAGTAAAAAAAAGATTCTACAATACCCTATTTAGCCTGCATTTTATGTGACGCAGACACTGTTAGACGTGAAACATATAAATTACTATGTAATTAGCAAAGTGAATCAATCCTTTCATCGTTCATCTTTCTGTAATTTTATGGTGTCACTCTTTCTATCGTTTAATTATAACTTAGCTATTTTATTTTAGTTGTTATTACTACTATTATTACTACAATTTTATACTTTATGCATATTTTTCTCCTTACCGCATACTGCAATTGCTACATAGCTGCTATAATAACGTTTTGTCATTATTATTATTACTATTATGTAATGTTTTTTTTGTCGCTTTGAGTAAATTAGATGCAATATTGTACGGAATGCTGAAAATTCCTTGCTGTATCATTAGTACTGCTTTTGGAATAAAGCAAAAATTATTATTATTATTTAAAAGCAGTCAAGTAGAATTCTCAGGTTTCTGTAAACGCAAAGATGGAAAAATATTTATATTATCAGAATCAAGATAAACATTTAGCGCGAATTATTTCAGTATAAGTTACAGGATTTCATCATGAGCTAACATTGGTTAGAGAACCATTGGAAAATAACCACGGATTACTAGACAGCTGTTTCGTCTTAGTGCTTGGGACAGTACGCACCCAGCCCACTGGGGTTCGAAACCACGCCCTTCTGGTTACAGGGCGAGCATGTAGACCATTCAGCCACTGGGACCCAATCCAATTACCCATGAATTCTACATTCTGCCAATTCACAACATAGCGCGCCGGCTAGGCAACGTCTTCGGAGAGTATTTGTCCTCACATCCGACCTGCTGCACCCACTAGAACCCAGGTAACTACCTATTTGAATAGGGCCGGTCGCCAGTGAGCATCTCATCGATATTCAGGTATTGGTTTGTAGGGATTTGATTGATTGGTTACAGGATTTCATCGTCCCTACAAACTAATACTTGAATATTTCAGGATAGCTAGTCTTTTGCAACAGCTATAATGTAGGAATAGTGTTCTTCCCACATAAGTTGACTTCATTCGTAAGCTAACTATCTACAAAAAGCAGAGAAACGGTAACATATTAATAGTTTTATTTTTTATGCCGAACTCTTGGGTACATGTAATCAATTTCTACCATGCATGACCTATTTAATTATTATATGCAAAAATGTACTTTATTTTATCACAGATATTCCAAGAGTTCACTTTAACACTACAGAGAATCCAATATATCTAGGAAAAGATGGTCCAGGACGTCTCCCGTGTACAATAGATGCTTCACCTTCAGTGGATTTAATTGAATGGCGAAAATTATTCAATTCATCAGATACAATGAAATCTAATTTCATGATAAATCATTTTCAGAAACGACAAAAAGGCGGTACAATTCTACCAGTTGAACAACTGTTGAAAGATGATAAATCTATTGTGGTAAGTAAAAGTAAAAGTTTTTTTTTCATTCCTCGTACTTTGAGTGGAGTATAGGACTTCATGCTCCGAACTTTAGGATTACTGTAGTGTTGGCATTGTATTGATGGGATGGGGGAAGCAACAACTGGTCACCTATCCAACCTTCACAATCTTTGAGGCTTACTTTTAGCTAGGTGAGGTTAAGAAATTCGTCTGTCGGGAATCGAAACCGGGTCATGTGCGTGGCTGGCTCGCATTCATCCACTGAATCACCGAAGAACACTTTATGTGCTAGGGATATTCAGTTTCAATACAAAAAGAGACATTCTTATGCTAACTGTTTACTACATGGGCTTTCTGACACTGACTTATCGGTTATTACATATTGGGGTAAAGGCTTAACTTCACTTTGTGAGTGTTCCTCCGACATGAGTGATTCCAACAGTGTAAGTGGATAAATGTGTTGCTAAAATAGGTAAACGGATTTCCAAAATTTTGGAAAACAGAATCTAAAGCAGTGGGTTTGTCTTAGCTAACCTAGTGAATATAGGAGTAAACAGAAGACCAGTAGTTCAGCGAAATGTCTCTTTTTAGAGGCGATATCATTTTTGCAGTTGTACAATCACAAATTTATAAGGTTGTTTTGTGTGTACATAAAATTTGCTAAAAGGAAAACAATTAGTAAGTTTTTTGTGGAGTTACGTAATACGAAATGCGTTCAGAGGAATTGGATGTTAACATACGAGGGTAGTAACAAAAGTGATGAGTTGTCACAAACGATTATTAAAGAGGAGTTACGTAAAAACATGAACAGTTTGATGAAAGAGTTGTGCTCAGGGTGTACATGGAAACAAAATAACATACGGGATTACGTAGGAGCTGTAAGTAGTTAGAAAACGGCAAACAAGCTAAAGTTAAGTCAAGTCAACAGAGCTGTTGCCATGATAGTAGAAGTGGTTGAATAATTTTCTTTTGTATGAGTAGTTCTGATTCCTCTTACTTAATGGCTGGGACTTCTGCAATACAAAGAAGACTGAAATATATTGTTTTCAGTAGGATGTTTCTCACTTTAAAGATTACTTTGAAGGAGGCGTTTGTTCAGATGGAATGAGCAGCGGTGGTAGTTACCATAAAACTTGATGTTCCTTAGATGACTTTTTGTGTTACATGAATCCAAGAAAGTGTTTTCCCATTTTAGTGAGCACTCCGATAAGACAGTTCTATATCCTTTAATATTTTTAGAAAATTATTACATTCTAAGTAGTGTTCACCCACTGTGAAGAATATTTTAATCCTGATATTCAAAGTGAATCCCTTTATAAATTATATTCTTACATTCTGCATTATTACTAACAGTAACAGTTTCATAGATGTCGCAGATATATCTCATCAATATTAACTCCAATGAACCGTAACAAATACTTAATAATATTCTGATGTGGTTGTGTTTCCCCATCTGGATAGTTTATTTGCGAAGCCTTCATTGACCTACGAGACAACATCTTCATCGCATACTTCAATTCATTGAAGTGTGCTCTTAGATTTCTCCACGAGTTTATTGATCATCTCCCCTGGCGACCTTGGACGTGATTGGTTGTTTTTGTGTGTTTTCACACCTTCTAGGTTACTTGTATTGCCATCGGTGCTTATTGTTCCCTTGACTTGAGCTTTGACCCTTTGTGTGTGAGGTTTCCTTCTTATCGACTGATAAATTTTATCTATGTCGATGTGTCTGTGGATTTCTGATTCACTGGAATACCAGGCCTCCGTGGAAAGCACAAAGAAAGGATATCTCAGAAATCACTACAACACTCTTCAAACCTTTAAGAATCGATGTCTTACACAAACCAAGAAAATCACTTCACTCAGCCAGCCATATGTCAACCAAAGGACTCAGCGACGAAAGAAGATAAAACCAACATCATCTAAAAAATAAGCTGTAACGACTGCGAAAAACACTACACTGGTCAAAGTGGACGTACTCTTCGTCTTCACATCCATGAACATAACCTAGCCGTCAAAAGACATGACATCCATCACGTCATATCGCCTCACTGCATACAGACAACCACGAACATCGATTCGACTGTGACAACCAGCTTTCATATATTAGACAGAGGAAACACCAAAAACGGTAGAGAATATTTAGAAGCTTGGCATTCCAGTGAACCATCAATCAATAGACACATCGAGATAGACAAAATTTATCAAACGATAAGAAAGAAACCTCACACACAAAGAGTCAAAGTTCAAGTCAAGAAAACAATCAGCTCTAATACTAGTAGCCTAGAGGCGGTGAAATCATACAAGAACAACCAATCACGTCCAAGGTTGCCAGGGGAGATGATCAATAAACTCGTGGAGAAATCTAAAAGCTGACTTCAATGAATTGAAGTATGCGATGAATATGTCACCTAGTATGGTGATGAAAGCTTCGCAAATAAACTATCCAGATGAGAGAACACTACTTCACCCACCTGATCCACAAATCTTTTCCACCATACTTAATGATATACATAGTTCAGGATTTCGATAAAACAATAAAAAGACTATATATCTGAATCGTGTAATGTATTTGCGCAACACACTTCGACTCAATAGGATTCAGCAAATATGTGCAGAGGATACACTTGAAGATGAGGAAATAAAGCCGACAAAACTGTGGTTGATTATGTGGAGATATACAGCGGTCAGATCAGTAAGAGCCATTCTCCAACTCGTCACTAAGAAGGATGTTTATATCAGGAAGCCCTACTTCGGTGATTATAGCAGCTTGGTAACTAGAAGAATATTGAACGCTACGGCTAAAAACTTTTTATGCAACTGATGTTCGAATAATTGAGAATAAGAAGCCTTTATGTCCATCTAGACCCTTAACACATGAAAAAAGATTCTATCACACCTGACTACAACTGCCATCTTTTATCAGCATGTCGTCATACATACATAGGAAGGGCTCACTGATCTCTACAAATAAGGGTTTCAGAGCAAATGTCTAATTGGCTTCTAGAGTATATCAAATCCCCTGAACCCATTAATGGCGAAAATAAATGACCCAGCTCTTCGATTACGAAACTTATTGTACAGGCGGGATGTAAAATTCATGTAAACATCTCTTTTAAACCTACCTATAAAACATATTTAAGACGTAAGTTTGTGGAGGTTTTACCGATTAGGAAGTTAAAACCATTTTAATTTGTTTAAAACCAGTTCATCATTACACTAAACCTTCTTTGGTAAACCTTGTTTTCTATACCAGTACACATATACAATTATCTACCTTCTTTGGTTTATTGATATCCTCCTAGCCTTCTAACTTGACCTATGTCTATTCTCTCACCGCTTAATGTTTTATTATTTTCACGTTTATGCCTGTGATAAGTAGGCATGTGATTGGATTTTTCGAAATGTTTTGGGCAAATAAATTACACGATCTTAGATAAATCACGTCTTCTTGACATTTTTTTGCCGAAAGTCCTTAAGGGAACTAAGTGTTTCGAATAGCTTGGAGCATTAAGTTTAGTTAACCTTTACTTACCCAACGGAAGTTATTTATTCCTTGTTGCTTATAATGAGTTATTCCAAATGAGATAATGAGCTTATGTGTTAAGGAACCATTAAAAACCAGGGAGTACTGAGACGACGTTTCGTCTTAGCTTGAAGCTGTTCAGCAGTATATCTTCATGACCCCACCAGGGATTGAACCTAGGATCTTTGGGCTACTAGACCAAACTAGTTGAGTTATAGGCACATAATGCTGAAGAGTCCCGGACTAAGACGAAATGACTGTCAAGCACTCCCTAGTTTTCAGTGGTTCTGTTTATAAATGAAGCTCATGTTCTGAGTTGATATGATTCAAATCCATGCAAACCAACACCCAGTTAGTCTCCATCTTTGCATTTTCTCTCTTCTCGTAGAGCATGAAGTATATTTGATCTGGCTGGGTTAAATATCTTATTTGTCATGTCTGACTAAACACGCATATTAATGAAAAATGAGGTTAACGTCATGGTATGTAGCAATTTAACTTACAATTTTAATGAGTTGATCATGGATTGATATCAGTTAGAGAAACACTGAAAACCACCTCAGAAAGTACTGAACAGCTGTTTCATCCTATTTTGGGAATCATCAGTAGCACGCAACCAACATTACAGTCCGAGCTCAGGACCTTCCAGTTACAAGGCAAGCTCGTATGCCATGCGACACGATTCAGTGGCTGGCCAATGAATTCTAACTTCTACCAATTCGTGATTTAACGCGACCAGCAACCAATATTATCAGTGGGACATCCATCCTCACACTTGATTGTATGGACCTTACTGGTCACCACTTCTCACTAGAACTGCAGGAAACTCTGCCCTGTAGCAAGTCACTAGCAAGCATCAGTTTAATTTTAAAATAGTTGATTTGTAAGGATTAAATATGTTTCATCCCAAACACCTGTCCAGTACTCCCTGGTTTTCAATGGTTCCCTAATTGATATCAATCCGTGATCATCTCGTAAAAAAACAAATCTAATCCTTACAAACCAACTGTTCAAAATACATTTTTAAATCATTTTCGAAGTCGTATATACAGATATATAATATTGAACGGTAGAATGTGAAACAAACTCTTCCAGTCAACTGTAGTGCTGACTATTAAATTTAAATCTGCCTAAGCATTGAATTGTGGTGGACTGGACTGAATAATGCTTCAGACAGTGGGAAACGAGAAGACAGGGATATCCTGGACCAACGTGAAGAACCTAGAAGACCTGGATTTCACGTGTGGATGATTCATGTTTGATGCCACACAAAATCGAAGACTTACAAGCGAAAACCGACAAACTGGTCGAAGAAGCAGCAAAGACAGGCAGGACTCCAGGTGAACATAGACAAGACGGAGGTTATGAAAATAACCAACCAACAACAGCAACAGCACCATACAGCGCCAATCACCATCAACGGGAGGGATTTGAAAGAGGTTACTTCATTCACTTATCTAAGCAACCAGCATTGTCTCAACTACAGGCAGGT